TCTTTCAGAAAACCCTGTTTGATGAGACACTATGTTACTGATGAAACACGTAGGGATATAAACTACTGACAGAATAGTTCAATAACATTTTAGAGACCCTGTGATATTTTAAACAGGTGGAAGTACTTTCCCGTGCCAATGATTAATCTTTGAATACATAAACACTTTAAGAAAACAGATAAACATTATGTAGATGCTAAATTCTGACAGATAAGAAAAGGCGCTGACATTGGTTCAGTTTATGCTCTAACTGAAAGAAAAGTTACAGGTTTCAAGTGGGAACCACTTGCTAAAACTCCACAGCTTGTATTAAATCACATCAGACTGAGCCAGAACACCCGCTTTTGCTCTTCAGATTATCACGCTAAACCAAAAAATAAAATAAAATTGCCAGATGAGAGGTGATAGCTGCAGATTAGTTTGGCTGCAGAGTTGGTTATAAACACAGGAATCCAAGACTGCTTGTTCTGCATACCTTATAAATTACCTTTATATCAGGGATCTCAAATTTCCTTTCAATTAACTTCACTTTAACAGCTCAGATGGGACTGAGATATTTTACCTATTATAGAGATTAAGAACTTGAAATACAAAGGGATTAAGCAACTTCCTAAAAATTACACAGGAAATCTCCAGCAGAGCACATTTAGAGACTAACTTCACTTGACCTTCTCTATCAAGATCATCCTTCCTCCCCTTCACACCTTGAGGGCAGGCACTAATCCACTCCCCTTGACCAGGGTTTTACAACTGCATATTTAAATAGAAACCCGTACATTTTTTCCCACATGCGGTCACCTTGAGTGTCTAACTGCATTAAATTTGTTGAAAGACTTGAAAATTTGCAGTGGAGTGGAAAAGCACAGGCAGCAGTATTTCCAGCTTTAGAAGAGCTTGACTGTAAAGCTTTAATAGTCTTTTATTATGTTTTTTCCCCCAATAGGTAAATATATAATATTGGCAAACTAAGTGATCACTATACTAAGTATTTCAAAATTGCTAGGCAACTTATTTCCTTTCAAAAACATTCTAAGAAGTTTTGAAGAGAGAAAAAGTCTGCCTTACAGGACCGAATAATTAAAGCCCACATCAAATAAGGATGGATGCTATCACAATACGTAACACCCAACATGTCACCTATGTGTTCTGAGCATTAATTACTGGCAAATTTAACTGCTTCAAGTACCCTGAGTATTGACTTTTTCCACATAAAACTGGCACAGTATAAAAGCTGTCAGAGCAACTTTCATTCTAAGACATGTTTCAGTCCCCTGGCTGATATTTAATAATTGTTTTAACAAAGAAGCAATTACATTGATGGCTTTCATAACACGGGATCAAACAAAAACTATGAATTAACTTTATAGCTATGAACTGTTCCAAGATTAAAAAAAAACAAAAAAAAAACACACACTAACATACTTGTCCAGGCAAAAAATTACGTATTTAATTAAGCCACCATTTTTAAAATCAAGGAATTAAAGATCTTCATTGAATCATATCCAGAGAAGAACTGCAGCTCAGTAAAAACCTAAAATAACCAACACAAGTTGTTTCAAACACTTTGCAAGTTTCACTTATCAGAAAGGCTCAGCTCTATATCAACTGGTAAAACCTGTCTCCAGCACAAACTTTAATGTCAGTCCGAAGAGGAAAATCTACAGTACTATAATTCATTTCATTCAACATTTTCAGAACTGACTTCTGATTACAGATATCAAACTGAGATACATAAAAGGGATGGATTTTCCAAGTAGGGGTGTTTTGCATTCACTGAAAATCATTTCAGTGTCTTAAGTAAAGTTTTGAAAGAATATGACAAAAATAATTAGTCTTTCCTAGTTTTGTCTGGACCACTTAAAGATGCTCAAGTACGTGAAGAAACCTAATCAGAGGAGCCTAAATTACATATAGAAGAAAAAGAGACAGAATTTAAAGACAGATTGGCACAAAAACTGAAGAAACGCCTTTATGCTTCTACAAAGCTGTGTTCTACAAAGCTATGCTCATGTGAACTACAAGTATACACTGAAGCTTACTTCCATCCACTTGTTTGTGCAAGGACTGAGCAATGTAGCATTCAAGTAGTTTTTCTGGGACTAGCAATGCCTGAAAACCTTTCGTTTTCTACATTTCCTGTTTGAAAATAATTTACAATCGACACAGAGTCAAGTACTGAAGTCCTGAGAGGGATATTCTAGAAAACTTAAGCAGTTAAAACTGAGACTAGGAATCGGTTAGCAACTACATACCTGATCAAATATGGATGCCTTTCTGGGTGACACACTCCAGAGTGCAGCTTTTGCATTTTGCAAAAAGACCAGTTACTGAGCATAATACAGCAAACGGGGAAATAGATAAACACTCTGGGATACTGAGGACAGTTCAACTACCAAATCAGTGATGAGCGCACAGCAATGCTTACCTGATGTATGGTTCCATCTATTTCAACAGGAACAATGAAATCAGCATTGCTAATTGGCTGGAAGAATAATAAGAAAACAAATCAACATTAAAAATAAGATCATTAGAGGGGAAATTTCAGAGGCGCGCTCACAAAAATAACCAGAAATAAAAACAAACACACAAACAAAAAACCACGCACACACAAACCGTACCTTTCAGGAACAAGTTCATAAGCATTTTTGACTACACAGATCTACCTTGTGCGCGTGTGTCTCTTACACACAAAAGAGAAAAAGGTCTTATGCAGCTGTATTTGCCGGATGCCATGTTTCCCTTTTACTGCTCGACTTTACTTGTACTCCCTACTGCTGAGTACAAACTGAGCCCGTTTACCAGTATAAATATCTACCTGGATAACTTTTATGGAGTCTGGGTGGATGACAACAAAAAAATTCAGCTATTTTCTTCAAATATCTATCAGCACAGACTCTACTCTAGGTAATCAATTACAAATTAGTTAAAAATAAAGAAGCTGGTAAAAGCAGCAGCAGATATATTTGAACCACAAGCTACAAGGGAAGACTAAGTAATAACTGCATAATTCTCAAGAACCTCAAAACATGCTACGTCAATCAAACGAAATATGCAAAACTGAATTCTAATCCAAAAGAGAAGAGGAAGAACACTCTTAAGATCTCAAATCCGTTTTCCTGATCTGTTTGAGACAACCTGCTACTTAAACTTACTGTGAAAAACTGTGAGTCAAGGAAAATGATTCCTTGCAAAAAAGCTTAAAGTAGAAAAATGTCATCGCAAAAAGGATTTTAAGAGAATACAGCTTAATCTTGGCTAGATAGTAGTGGCAGTTGGTGAACACACAGCTAAGAACGTTTACTAGTTTAAGTGGATATCAAACCTGGGCAGAAACCTTCAGTGTGGCTCATGTATTACCTCTGTGATGGAAAGATCACATGAACATGCCTGGGTGAAGTTTGTAACTCTCTCCATGATTCACAACTTGGAAACGGCTGAGGCACAGAGCTGCCAGATACAGTTTTACAGGACTGATTAACAGACAATACGCTTCACAGACAATAGCCTACAATGCAGACTGGTAACAGCTTGGCTGATAACTGGCGTGACATTATCAAGCATACGATGCAGAACATCTTCACTCAGCTCAGACTCATAAAAGCTTTTCTCTGTGATTTTCTGGATCAGCCAAAAGACTAATCTTAAGAGCCAATAAGAAGAGAGTGCCTCTGAAGAGTTTTTGAGTCTAGAAACAGTGTTCAAACCAATTTGCAAGAGTGGTGTCAAGAAAGCAGAGAAGCACTCAGGGTAGATAGACAGAGAAGTAGATCACAGGCTGATAAACCTAAACAGGTGCTCTAAGAAAAGAAAAGAAAAAAATCGCAGCAAAAAGGGAATTCTGCAGCATCAATCTGATAGCATCACTTTGAACCCATTCACTAGAAAAATAAGATTCTAATTCCACTGCCAATAAGATTCTAATTTCCACCTTTTTGAGAGGAAATAAGACCACCATAAGGATTTATACTGAGAGCCATACCTGCAATTGCAAATACTAAAGTAATCAAAGAAGCTAGCGTTATCTGACTTCTGAGAAAGCTGTGTCAGAGACTAAATAAGAAGCAACATTGAATCTACTCATGCTGACAAACTAGTCCAGGCAACTCCTCCTTTAGAGCAGCAGATGTTGAAAAACCCAGCCCTGTTGATGACCACTAGTGCTAGTGTGGCCTGAAGAACTCCTCAAACATCTGCAGATACAAGTTAGTTATTTCTTTTGCTGACATCAGACAATTTCCAAGATATGTCCCCCTTTCTACCTCTAAAAGAAGAGAGACAGAGGGACAGCTCAAATCTGCTATCTGCACGGAGACTCTCAGGCAGAGAAGACTGTACTCTGCAGCATCTCTAATTGCCAGAGAACAGGTATACAAAAGCGTTCTGAAGGTTCACCTTAAAAGAAACACAAATGAACTTCCAATAAGACAGACACCAAAGTTTTTAAGTGGGTGCCAGCTCTGCACATACTTTGAAGAAACTTCTACACGCTTGCAAAACTTACACATGCATGATTTCCTTAAGCAAGATAAATATTCTGTACAGACACAGAAGGCAGGACTGGTTCACTGCAAGCTGCAAAAGTTTTGAAGCCCATTGATCAAACCTCAGCTACGACTAAACTTTGTTCCCAATGGGGGAACAGCAAAGAGATGTCAGAGAACACATTCTGTTTAGACAACTGAATTTTTGCTAAAAAAGAAAACTTACTCTTAGACTTTGCAACACCCACTAAACTATTCAACTGCATATTTGCTTCCCTCGCTTGTATTTTGGATATTACGTAGCTGTCTAGGAAGAGAGCACGGACTGGGGTTCTGTGTTTCATCACGATGGGAAGACGGGAGAAACAAGTCCACAACAGCTTGCTGGCTAAAGGTTTCTGGGGTTGCACACAAAGTACGAACATAACTCAATTGGGAAACACACAGACAAATCATGAAAGAACAATATATTTCTACTGAAAATCTCTTCTTCAACTTGAAAATAGTTTTGTTTAATAAAAAGTTTCAGAGTTTTAAACATGCTTTAAAAATCTTTCAGGTACAGTTCTGAACACGACTACATTCCAGACTTGCATGTGGTTTAATTTATGTTATACAGAACAATGTTTACATCTCCTTGACTTAATAATTTATGATTTTTGCTTCTATTATTGTTTTATGATGGGAATCATAACTATAATGTCTATCCAATCCTTTCTACTCTTGCCAAAGCACCCTAAACTTTATTCCTTTAACGTACCTTTAACATAAAAGACTAATGCCTCTTAAAACTTCACAAATATACAAGGGCAAAAAAAGGTGAGAACTACCTTCCTTCAGTTGTTGCCGCTTTCATAAAAAAAGCACTTAAAAAATCCTGCATCTCTGACTGTGTTAAAAAAAAAAAATTGCCTGCATTTGAAATATGAAGCCTATTTCATAACTGAATCATGCATTCCCAAAACATGCATGTGTTTTAAATAAAGCCTTTTGCACTAAAAAAACATAAATTTATGGATGCTCTTACAGCTTTTAAGTGTGAATCTGCCTCAGAACAGAAAACACGCTTTGAAAGAAAGAAAGAAAGAAACAAACAAAGAAGTCAAACTTCTTTGGAATACAAAGAATACAAAAGGAATACAAAAGGAATACAATTATTCAGGTAGAGCAGTATAAATGCAGGTATTAAAATCCCTGGTCTTCTGGAAATCATCAGAAGAGTTTTAATGACCATGGTGGCCTTACTTGAGCTCAAGTATCTCCCCCCCTGCGTCACAAAATCCAAACAGCTCCACCAACTACACTGAACAGAGTGCCAGATACTAAATAACTAAAGCCATTTATTCCAAAATTTGGTTTTCTGTTATGTACTACCATCCCAGTGCTTCACGTCATTTGCCTATGATGGCAATATCTTAATTAATATGGCTCTAGTACTACAGAAATCATTGCAACTTTTGTCTAACACATTTTACTTCAAAAGAAAAGAGGATCAGCTTTCTTTTCCTAGAAGGAAATATTGTTCAGTATTCAAGACTAAGTAGAACAATCTTTTAATTTTTCTTACTTATCATTTAATATCCATAAATATAATTTAAATACTCAGTAAATATCATTTGAATAAATGGGATGATTCACTTTAAAAATGAACTGACTGAGTAAGCACTCCTAGTAATAAAGGCAAACCATCTTACAAGAAAGGATTCACACGATGTCAACTATTACACATGCATTTCCTTAAAATAGTTTAAAAAAATTAATAAAGACTCCAAGCGCATCTCATTCTTTCAAGAACCATAAAAAACACAGTACAAACTTATCTACAGCATTCAAAAAAGAAACTTGCATTTTTACGTTCCAGATAGTCTAATACTTTGTTATTTTTATGTAAATTTAGACTTTCACATTCAGCTTTCCCTTCCTTTTTTGACTCTCTCTGTAATTAGGAAGGCAAACTCCCTCCCCTCCCAATCCAGCCGTGTTTCTAATCTCCCTGAAAAATTCTGAAGTGCCACTTCAGACTGGGTACGGAAGACAACAATCTGGAACTGAGGGTAAGAGATTCCTGTACACCACCACAAATTGGTATATACCAGTAGGCACAATAAAGAGAAGAATTTTAGTTTCACTTTGACTTGGAGGCATAGGAATATTTGTTCTAGTATCTCCATATAAGGTCATCTTTAAGTCAACAAAGAAAGACTGTTGCCAAATTCTAACCACAAAATGAATTACGGTTTACATATTTAAATACTGGCAACTAAATATTTGTAGATTACAATGTTGGATTTATGCTTGCAGTGAAAAATAGAATGCAACCAAAGTTAGAAGACTTATAAGGACAGTGGTAGCTCTGGTTTGGTACTGGTAAGAAAACATACTATTGGTTCTTAGAAGTTCTCCAACATCAGTGTATAAAACTAGAAGATGCTTTATAATGTCTGACATTAGCTGACCAGAAAGACTACCAGTACTCTGAGTCAGTTTAGGTTATCTGTATTACTGAATTCTTCTGTTCTAACTCCAGACCTATATAAACAATAGAAAAATACCACTACACCCACTGCATGCAGCATTATGAAGCAGTTATAAAAGCTGCTTCTACAAGAAGACTGACTCATCAGCAACAGCTAAAATGCTGTTTGATTTCCTGTTTTGAAAGCTGAATACTTAAAAACAGACTTAAAAATTACGTTTGGGACAGCAGACAGACATTTACTTACCCACGATACAGAAAACAAACTTCTCTGACAGTGGAGAACAGCAATCACTGCTACTCAAGAACTCTTGGTTTAAGGTACATCTATCCACCTAGCCAAAAGCTGTGCCGAATTTCTATTCTCCTAGACTACCTGTAACATCATTTGAACATCGAAAATAAAACCATATATTCAGAGCGATAGGTTTTGTACCTGTTAGATACAGGCCCCTGTTGGAATAGTTACCATTTAAAACCATAAGGTCAGTAATCATTCAGGCCTTTTTTCAATACCACTCCCTCAAAATCCGTTCCCTACTCTGGCCAAAGTAACGTTTGTGTTATTGCCCTTAAAGCCAAATTAGGATGAGTAATCACAGAAGTGACATTGAAGCTGCTGCAAAAGAAGCTCCTGACTAGATAGAACGCTGGGTTTTAAATAAAGAGCAACAGAAAAACTGAAAACGGCTGAAAGACACGAAGGAATTAAATGGCTCAAAGCTACAAGCTGGAAAAAACTAACAAGAAAGTGATCGGAAACAGAATGTTTTCCTCTATGAACAAGTGCAATAGTGAACCAAAAAGGAGAGTTACCAGGCATCCTAGGATAGCCTGCAAGACTAGATAACGTGTCAGTGTTAAGAGGTTTAACGGTTGCTACAGTGCTTGCTAAAAGAATCAAGTTGCAAGAGATCGCTTACGAATTTACATACCTTAAATGAACTGTGCACTAAAGTTTCATCTAAATCAATGACCACACACTTCTTCCCGTAGTCTGATGCTGTCAGTTCTGGTAGGAGGTATTTAGCTGGTGGCTAAAGAAAAAAGACGACAAAAAAAAAATGTAAAATCTATTAAAAGGGCACTTTCCCACTAACATTACTATTCTGGCAGTATTCACTGGGGATTGAAATACACGATTCAAAGTTGAATGTTTTCCTGGGCTCATGGCAAGTACACACATGGAAATCAATGGTTCGTGCAATACCCATACAGACTTTCCTATCTTTTAAAATGAAAGACTTGTCTAGAATAATCTCCAAAGCATTGGAAATGACGATGGCAAAACATCACCACTGGCAAAAAACAACAGTGAAAAATGGAACACCCTTTCCCCATGACCGTCTTCCTAAATGCCTCAGTTTGTGCTGCCATTAGTGTCCTGCAAGTACTATAAGCATACGTTTCCGTCCATATCACACAGATGGACATTTACACATTACATTATTGCTGTTTGCTGTGGCTCATGCTAAGATGGAGAAACCAATTCTGAAGGAAGACAACACAACCAGTTTTATCTTGCAGAACATGTCTGCATGCGACCTCTACCGCTTGTTAGGGTGCTGACCAAGAGCTTTCACATGAATTACACTCAGAATCAAACCATGAAAAGCGTAGTAAAGAAACCTCCCTCAAAACAAGATCTTTTACAGTATGCTGCCCCTTACAAAAATGGTACCAATTATACAATACGAAGGGGGAGCTCCACAAAAATTTTTCTGAAAGCAATGCAGACTTTGGTACTGTATAGTTTCTGAAAGAACAGAAATTGGAGATAACTATCATTTGGAGCTGAAACACTGCTACACCGTCACTGGCTCCAAGAGATTTTTTTGGTGAACGAAAAGCATTAGTTTTACAAAAAAGAATAAATAAGAAGCCAGCTCAGAACTGACAGGAAATTAAATCTACTAAGAAAATTAAAATTGTATATCGAATTCTACTTCGCTCTTTTGCTGCCGTTTTATCTGTCGCACTCAGATGCTGCTGCTGCGATAAGGACGCACCCATCGCAGTCTTGGTTCCTTTTGGACACAATCAGCCTTTTACAGAGGTTCTTTCAGAAAGCTGCGAGGGCACCGCTTTGCAGAGAGCGGTGTGATGAACAGATGAGTAACACACCCACTGAGCACAATACAGTAACAAGTACAGATTTTTTCTATAAATCACTGATTTATTTCAGATGGCTACTGGTCAATGATGCCTAGTAAGTTATTGTTTAAATGAAATAACTAGTCTTGGGGGAAAAAAAAAAAAAAGATTCTGAACTTAAAAAGCAAACAAACAAGCAGTCCTTAGCCAAAATATATGTTCTTTGGAGATTTTTTAGGAGGGCTGACTGAAACTAGCTTAGTTTGCTTACAGTGACTATCAACAAGCTTCCCGAGCTAACAAAACGGAAGCGGCTTAGCTTACAAGTCACTTAATATGTTTTCTCTCAGCACACGTTAATGACCTTCAAGGAAAAACTACTGCTGCTCAATATCTGTAGAGTATGCATCCATCGCAATAATCTAATTGGACCAGAGCTTTTAGCGTTCAATACCATACCAAAACATAAATACGAGGCAAGCTGCTTTGCTACACCCTCTCTAAAGAGCTGAGGTGTTTCACTCCCACTTCAAAATCTAAAATGTATTTAGGCACACCACCTAATTTTTCCACAGTAAGAAGGACATACGGGCAAGAAGCTTTATTAACTGCTCCAATTTAAGGATGATATTCTTCAGAATCCGTGCGTGGACAAAGATTTCTTTTTTCACCAACACAGCTACTACTTGTGCTGCGTGAATTCTTTTTCATGTTATAAATACATATTTAGAAAATATAATATGGAAACAAATCTTTTTTCATTGGTAAATGTGTGGATGAAAAACCATGAGCACTGTCATGCCACAGTAATCTTTGACTTTCATTGGGAAACTAGTAGGCTTGTCATCAGAAAAAAGAAGGAACAGAAGCAGGACTATGAAGACGTGAGGACCTTACATGCAAGGAACCTGGATTCCTCTGACTGCATGGAGACAGCCTGTTCCCTTTTTATCTCATCCCACCGCAGCGCTGCTTTCTCAAAGGCAGCAGCTGGGAGAGGAACAAGCTTACCTGCAATACATATACACGCCTGCTGGTTACTCCTATGGTTTCTCTCCCCTTTCAGTTTTGGTTTAGGAAACAACGTGCAAATATTAATCTAACCTTATCTAACATGACTGACACCTTCAGGTTTTTCTTGGGGAAAATCCCCTACTAGGGCAGGCCAAGCCTTTCACAAGCTGCGCCTTTTTGAAGTTGATCTGATCCCACTTTCAAAGCAGAACGCTGTTTGCACACTTGAAGATCAGAAGTGAATTTTTCCACCTCAAAAGCTTCATTTATGTTGCCTTCAACCTTGAAAACACTTTTGCTGCCTGACAATCTAACAGGTCAAGAAAACTGTTCAGAAGCGGAAGTTGCTGCAAGCTGTGAGAGTGCTAAACGTTTAGTCTGATGTAGGCATTTAGTGCAAGGATGACGTTCTCGAGGCTGAAAGGATTTGTACACATCATATCAACCCACTTCTTTTGCCATCTGAGCTTTCTGATTCTAGAGCAATTTCCACCTGTAAAGCGTAGCAACACTTCTATGCCAAAAACAATGTTGCTCAGTATTGTATTTTATTTCTCTCACTAAGCTGAGAAAAACTTGAGAAACATCTGCAGGAGTCGCTATTACCAAGTTTTCATTATAGCTAATGGTGAATAGTCAGGGATCTTTAATGACTTCAAAGAAGAATCGTATTAGCTTTAAAGATAATTAAGATTGTTAAGAGTACCGAGTTGTAGCTAACAGCAGCTCGCATTTACTACATAGTACTCTGCAAAGTACTGCAGACTTCCCACAAAACTCGGCAGAAAAATAACGAGTAGTATCTTAGCATTCAAGACCCAGCTTGGTCTTCAATTCCAGTAAGATATAAATTGTATACAGGTTCAAGCTTTTAAACTAGACACTGTTTGAGATTTATGCATTCCAGCCAGGTCTATTAGCTGATCAGCTTAACAGCCTTTCCAGGGAAACGACCGCTTCACTGCCTCACTTTAATGGAAATAGTATATTCCCTGACAACCAACAAAACAAAACAAAAACAACAAAACAAACCCAGCAAGCCAAACAGCAAGAGAAGCAGACTTCTGTATGAAGCCTAACAGCAGGTCAACACAAGCCTTTCAAAAATTTACTATATAAAACCACCACAGTCCTTCTCCCCTCCAGGTCCATGTTTCCCACACAAATAAGCAGCAGAATTAAGTCCTTTGCATTCCAAAGATGTTCTCCAGCATAAGGGCAGCACATTCATTTGTGTGAAATCATCCCTTCAATTCAGACTTTTGCTTGTGCACAGCACAGTAACAGTTTCTCCCAACAGCTGTGCACAGGAGTACTCTAATAGATTATAAACTATTTCAACTTAAAACATATACAGCTGCCAAAAGAAGCTAACTCCTGTTGTGAAGCAGGCAGTTCACAAACTTCCTTCTAGAAAAGAGTTAAAAGTAAGAAATTGGCTAAATGTAGGTAGAGATAAGTGAAAACATATCCCAGTGCTAAATTTCAACTTCCATAGGGATTCTGAAGACTATTTTCAGCACCGCTCCTGCAACACTGGGATTTACATTGATCAAAATAAAGGATACTGCAACTTGATCATTTAAGCAGGTGCATGCACACTCGCTTTACGTTTCCGTCCACTCTTTCATTCAAAAGAATAAAAAAAAGTGCTCAGGTTGCTATGGTTCTACTGCGATTTCTCTACCCTGTTCCTCTCTAGGCAGGAGTTGCACCATTCCCACTCTCTGAAGAGCCTAACTTGAAGCTGGAATATTTCCTGATTAGCAGCTCTCTCCATCAATAATCAAATGAAAGCTCACGTTAAAGTTTCAAGTTTTTAAGTGAAGCATCGTTAATACGGACGACTTCTCATTCAGCAGAAAATATACTGTACCTCACTATTTCACACGTATGCAAAGAACAACGGAAGCAGACAACTAGATTTTACACGTGCACGATGAAATTGCAGCAAGCCTCCTATTTGGACTGAAGACTTCAACTTGAGAAGTTTGTGGAAGTTGGCACCCTTTTCAGGATCGCTCGGGAATTCTCTCAGCACTTGAAGCGGTTACTTTTGCAATGAACCATATAAAAATAAACGCTTGGTTCAAGCATGACCAAATTTCGTTCTGTATCTGTTAAGATGATTTTCTCCTGATACGTATATTACATGTAATTCAAAGAGCCTATTCCTCATGCATGTCTCAGTGTAGCAAAGCATCAAGACTTTCTGCCTTAATTGGTTTTAATCACATGGCTAAGAGTGTGTCAGAGCAAACCTCTACGCTTCAGTGCTCGTGACAAATAGTCCTGCAACGCTGGCAAAAAGGATCGCTAATTTTGGCATTTTCCAAATACAATGTCGGTTTTGCATCTTTGTTCCTACCACTTGCCATATATGCTGTGCATTTCTGTCTTTATTTAGATGATTATGTCCTAATAAATTCTTGCCTCTGTTTGACAGTGAGAAGCACTCTGATATTCTGATGGTAAATGTCACAGAATTGCCTATTAACAAGAATTGCTTGACAACGCTTGGATGCCCTGCTGCGAAGCAGGCATCAGATGACACATGCAGAGAGGCATGGGCATATTTAAAGTTACCTACTCACCGAGAACCATATGTCATGAATGTTAAGATAAAATAAATTTACTATTTTAGCAGAGTGCTGGGGATATAGTTAAGCAGAATTACAGTACATACCCAAAGCTCTTCTTGAAACTTTAGTAAAAATAATCTTCTTGAAACATTAGTATTCCTACCACTGCCCAAATCTAACAGAACGTTGCTTTAACATCACAAATATTGTCCTAGAAAAGCATCTAATTTCATGCTTTGAGATGTTCGTATTTGAGAGAACTGTACTGATTTGTAGCCGATAGCTTCAAAATGTTTCGTTTCAGCTTTTATTTCACTAACACCTATATTCACTCTTATTTAAAATTTTACTCTAGTTTACAGTACAGTCAGGACATCTCTCTTTCAAGTTCAAATGCCTGCCAATATAGCAGCTACAGTGATCAGTTGGAATTTGGCAGGTTAAGTAAAAGCAAAAGTAATTTAGAAATTGATATTTTCATAGATTTGAAGTTTGTTATCCACGGACGTGCATATACACAAACTATGTATGTGCATATACATTTTTTTTTTAAACATACATATTCATTTTTAGACCTAAAGATCTGAGAGCTACTGAGACTTCAAGCCCTCACTACTCCTAATACTCCTACACTAATAATATCAGAGAGAGGGCACTGATTCAGTACTTCCACATTAAAAGTAACAGTACGGAATAATGAATAATTTTTAGCAGTTCTTAGATCCCAGAAAAAGTGGTGAGGGAGGGAAGCTATCTGCATAATTAGAGTAAGCTCCTGAAACTATTTTGCTGCAGCACTAACAGGATTCTTACAGAAGGCCTTGTAGTGTCAGGCTACAAGAAAGGGAAGGTGAAAACATGTTTCGGGGAGCACTCAGGTCTTTGCAGCTAACAAATATCTCCAGAAAGAGGGCTATGTCAGTAACTCCACACGCCAGCTCTGCTACTTCCTAGAGAACTCTGCAGTTAATGAAATATAAATGGCAAAGGAGCTCTGAAAGAAAAAGTATTTGCTGCCTTTAAAAAGCTCAAGTCTCCAATCACACTGAAAAAAGGAGAAAATGATCAACTTTTTGACCCAAAATGGTAAGATCTCACTAAATTAACAATTTCAGTTCAACACAGCTTTTTTTATTCAGTTTTGAAAAATAATTCAGATGCCAAGCTACATTCCACGTTTAATCCAGGTAAGATAAGCAGAAACACTAAGGCCCATAAAACCACAGCTGATAGTGATAGCACCGTCTTGAACGAGTGCAGTAATGCAGCTGTAGTCCATGTATTTTTCATTTCCCTAAAATAAGTCGTCTCAAGACAAATTTACTTTCCAACTCCTTTTTCTTGAATTGAGATATGTGGAAACAGAAGGAGAAAAGTTTTTTTTTTTTTTTTTTTTTTGCAGCTCTGTCCCGGATAGTGCTGATGAGACACCTTTTGTCTCTATTTAAATAAGTAACTTCAACTTGCAGACTACTTCACACATTTTCAAAGTGATAAAAATTCAGAAACAAATTCAACTGAGACAAAAGATGAGAATGGTATAAAACTCAAACTCTTCATTAAGTTCCTGTATATCACCTGTAGTTCAGTTCTTCTCTGAATATACAACTTTGCAGACAGAATAATATCCTGTAACATGCAACAGAAAGTAGACCTGTTAGACTGCAGCATAAGATGAATCAAAGCAAAAGCTATGAAAATTATTAAAAGAAAAAGGGATAAAAATACATACACTTGGTATAGGCATGACCTGCATCTGGTCACCCTGGGGAAAAAGAAAAAAAAAATTACTGTAAGGGTAATGGCTTTCAAAGGGTAGAACAAAGGTTTGAAGCAATAAAATGTAGCATTCAAACATTTCAAACCAAAAATTCAAAGTATTCAAGAAACCAGGGTAAAAAAATAAAAATAAAAACAGGATTTTGCATTTTAGTTGCTAAAATGATTGGTTAGTATATTGGTATTTTGATTTTAACTGGTAAAACCCATGCTATGATTGATAAGAGATAAGAAAGTATCTGTATTTATGGTAACTTTTTTCAGCTTTAAGTTATAGGATCTGCTAATGGATATATTTGTCTTTTCCAACTGCAGCAACAAGAAGCTCCACCAGACCTCGGTAGCAGGGTAAAAACCTACTTCTTGAAGTTAACTTCCCTTGAGACAATTGCTTCAGAAAAGACTACGTTTTCATTTATGCAACAGCAGAAAGCCCGAGAGAGATACAAAGACAATAAACTGATCCAACTACTTTCTTCAGCCAGAAGGCCGCAACAGTATCAGCGCTCTTCCCACATTCTTACTTCGGTATGGTACTTGGAAACACTGGAAGAGTCAAGAGGACAGTCAGGACCTTGCCCAACGTGACCCTTCCTTCTCATCCTGGGTGGGATCTGATATATTGAGGAAAAAGTTACTTCTACTGGAAGCTTCCAAACGCAGCAAGGCTGATCACTGGGTCGCCAGCTCCATAGGTAAAAGACTTGTGGGTGCGGGAATTGCATTTTCTAACCATACATCTCTCAAAAACAAGTCTTTTCTTTTTGGTGCACAATGCACGTAAAAGAAAGCTGATCCTTCTAACCCAGATGTTGCTTAGGTGGAAATTATTTTATTCTTTTTAATTGCTTTGAAAACACAGGTTGTGGTTACCAGTAAACCGATTATCAGTTGAAGGCACTGTTTTTAAGATGAGAACTCCTCCAGCTGATAAGGTCCCGTGCTCACTTCTTTTGGAATCTAACAGTGTTGACAAATAATGGACAACAAAAATAACTTAGTTAAAGTGCTTAGATAATTTTTCATTACCACAATAGCAGATGCTTTTACTGAAATTTGACCAAAAATGAAAGAAGTTGATGAAGAAGTGAAAGAACAGAAACTACCATGAACTATTAAAATATTTACTTTATATTACATTTACTTTAGCACAAAGGTACCAAAGGTACCAAAAAAAATCCTCAAGTTAATGGCAAAAAAAAAAAAAAAACTTCCAAGAAACAAAAATCAAAAACCAAAAAACCACAGCACGTTAACATCCACTTAGTGGAACATCATCTGAAATTCCTGTGTGCCAAAGAAACAAATTTGACTAGGTGCCAGTTGTTATCCTTGTTCTCAAGGATATGGTTACACAGGCGGAGTAGCAGATTGTGAACCTATTGCCTCCCACCCCGCCTTTTTCTTTAAGTCATTTTTGGCATTTACTGGTAGAAAAAATAAAATACAACAGGAGCTTCTTTTCTGTCAACAGATGAAAACAGTATATCCATAATTACGGTACAAGATTATCTTAACTGCAGAATGCAAATATAGCTATGTACCACATCACATTACCCTGCAAACATTGCCAGTTGAAGTTTACAGGAAAACTTGCTTTCTATTTTGGCAATCTTTTGCCACAAGAGCTGTACTCAACAGTATTATTGACTTCCATGAGAATGCAGAATCTAAGTTGACTCTAAGAGCAGTATCACTGTTTGCTTTACTCATCTTGCAGAAATTTCTAAATAAAAAAAAACTTACTGAGGAAAACAAGTGAATTTCCTCAGTGGAACCCTAAAGGCCATATGCAAAAAAATCAAAACGGCAATGACCACAACTGAGAAAAAAAGCAGAAAGATAAATCCACAAGTATACTGGTAAAATGCATGTGTCCATGAGCAGACAAATGTTTGTTTTTTTTTTTTAGGGAAGGAAAAAAAAAAAAAGCAGCAAGCCTGCTATGGGAAACTCTGTTTTAAAAAGTGCCCTGCCTTATTTCCTGATGCCTTGGAACAGGAAGGGAAATAGGTCATAATAATACATTTTGAAATAAATGACAGATGACTGCATTTGTTGAAGTCTTTCCATGAGCTCCAGGGGCTGCTAATAGGACAAAGCTGCTCTCGGCCAAAATTTCCCCACTGTATCACTGAGATATCCAGGAATAGATTTTTCTAGCCATTGAAATCAGTTTTTTCATGGCATCATAAACACATTAAAAAAAAAAATCTAACCTTTTCCCTTAGCTACCCAATTTTAGGTTGAGGTACAAAACATTTTCAGTGCTGCATACATACATTAGTACTGCCCATGGTAGCATACAAGATTAGTAAGTGTCAAGCGAGAAACTATATTTTGCTTGAGAACAGTCTGCATTCAAAGATAAGGGGCCCAGGTGCCACTAACTTCGAGTTGCCCACCTACAAAGTGGATTTATGCAACAACTAGGTTGTTTCATTTAATGGAATAACCTATTTAGAGAAGATGATCAAAAGAACAGATTTACTATATTTGTTTCTTTAATATGAGTTCATATTATACTACGATAGGTTCTTAAAGATATATATATATAAAATATATATTTCATATATATTTCACTATTTAACTCCATTGATTAGATTATTGAGTTTTGTCTCTTATTATAGAGGACTTTGGGGGTGAGGGAGGAAGAGGCAAAGAAAGAGGTCAGAATGAGCAGGCAAAGACAGAGGAAGAACCAATCTTCCTATGCAGAGGGTTATTTGTTTTTTAAATAGATCTGCCATACCATCCTACCGATGCTGACCAACGGAACCAAACACTAGGGATTTCTTGCTCTACTCAGTGAGGGTTAAGCAGGAGAAACAGTGCCATTATTTATATTCATCTCACTTGTTCTGCTTTACAGCAGGGGGTGAGACTGGGTGCCACATCTGTTCTGAAAGCACGTCATTAGTCATCGCCTCATCAAAGAGTCCAGGCTCACATTGCAATTCCAGGTCTCCTAGAGGAAGGAGATACTAACGTAGAGCTCAAGACTGTCCTCCCTTGAACCCCTGCTCTTCTCCACCTGATGAACCCTATTCACATGGGATAGGGAAGATCATTTCCCCAGCAGTTTCAAGTTGTTATTAATAGAGTTCCCTGGAATATACAGTGTTAGAGACAATAGGTTAGATGACAACAGGTCAACAAAACAGTTTTCCAGCATCACCTTGGAAATGGCACCACCCTGGAGCAAAAAAAAAAAAAAAAACGAAACAAAAAAAATAGGGAGGAGGAGACCTAACTTTTGCAGTTGCTAGGGTAGGTGAGGTAGAAATCCAAGGACTCAGCCTTTCTGGCTTCATTCATCTCACAGGGAAAGGAGTGGGGGCAGCTGCTGGCCCCACAATCACCCATCTTCTTTCTGTTGAGGATGGATCAAGACCTTCTCCCCTAATCCAACAAACATAAAACCCTTTTCTGCATTCATCCTTCATCTTGTTGAAGCCACAAGCTATCTGCCTGATTTGTATCTAATCATGAATCAAAAACATAAGTGATTCTGGTGGAACTGGGTTGTAAGTGAAATGGACTTAAGGGCTTGCCAGAGCTCCCTCACTCACCAGTACTAAAAGTGATGGGAAGAAAGAATCTGCTCGCATCTAGCTTTTCCTCATTTTATTTTCTCTCTCCACTAAGCCTGCAGATGAAATCAGTATCTGCAAACACTTCAAGACTCAGTTAACAAACTCACCCCAGAATAAAACTTAACCCAGAGATATACCCAAGAACCACACAAATTGAGCCTAACTGCTAAATTAAAGAACAGGAATTAAGATTTGAATTTATTCATAGGAAAATAAAAACACTCCCCTTCTCCTAACACTCCTTCCCCAAAAAGCTCGTTGGAAGGTCTTGGTGAGCTGCCTGCTGCTGAGAAAGCAGGAAAAAATTAGCAAGAATTTCAGAAGGCTGAACACTGTGTACTCCCCATGGCACGTCTGAATCTGCATCCAAGCTGCAGACAGGCTGATATACCCACCGTAATAGATACTACATCTCAGAATGTATCTTTGTGCTGGATTAAAAAGCTGTAGCGTTTTAAGGGAGGGAAAAAAAAGGAAAAAAAAAAACAAAACACAAGCATACAATAGTTTCAGTAAATACAAGTTACTACTGAAAAATGTTGTATTGAAATTCTGGAGGCAGAATGGACTGTTCAATATCAGTACTGCAGTCACACTTGGACCAACAGCTCCTCAGTGAGTAGACGTTCTGAAAAATGAACTTCATACTTGGAAGAATTTTCTCCTCCCGCACTGGAATAAAAGTCAGTGCTGTAAAACTCTGCTTATTCAAAATCATCTTCAGTTTGGTGTTTCTTCCAATCCTATGAAAAAGTGACACGGCACTTAGCTAGTCAAGTATCATTTGGCAAAAGAAAAAAAAAAAAAACTAACAGTGAAAAAAAATCACATAGAATTACTCTGGAAAAAAAAATTAGAAATGTTTGTGTTTTAAATTGGTTAATAAAATACTCTTCTTTGCTTTCCCTCCCTCATAACAGGTTAACATTGAAAGAATTGAGACTCCTAATAAGGGCAGAGTAAGCTCGTTGTATCAATTTTAAGAATATGCCAGAACCAACATAGAAACTGAGTGTTTGCTCTATGAAATCAGTAGAAGCTTTCCCAGTTTCTCTTCTTTCTGTAAAGGAGTCTCTATGTCTACCTCTCATATCACAATTCCACAGAAGAGTGAAGACAGAAGGAAAGCACACCCAAACCATTTTATAATACCCTTCCTAATAGCAACAATTTAACATTATTGTGCAATTTCCTTTTTCCACTTTTGAAGGAAAAGGTCACAACACATGAGCAGATCAGGCCAAAGTCAGAGGTCATCTGTGATGTGTTATTAAAATAAGACATCAACGCAAGAGTGACAGCAGATAAAAGTAGAGCAACCATTCGAACAGTGCTCAACAGAATTTGAAGTATTCCAGACTGGTGGGCAGATCAGCGCAACAAGAGCTTTACTGAAGAGTTTAAGCAGCGTGTTGCAAAGCTCGCTCTCCTGTTCTACAAGAAGTCACCTCGTCTTTCCTGACTATTTAATTTCACCAGTTAGAACTGAAACACAGTAAATAAAAACAGCATACAAAGCTTATTAGCTTTCAATACTGTCTTTAAAATAAGTGTTATAGACTTATTTGCACTCATTTAAGAATTACCTGAAAGCTTAGCCATACTTGACTTCTTCTACAAAGAACTGTACACATCTGAGCGTTTCCTTCTTCATTCTACTTGTATTTTGGAAAATGCACTCTTTAATAACTCTTGTAAAGATACTTGGTAAACTTTTCTGCTAAAGTTGTGCTTTGGTAATTCTGTGAATTCTGTGATTTTTATCTTGGGCTTTTGTACAAGTATTTCCCAACTTCAAAACTGCTCACTAAGGGAGTCCAGCATGAGGATGAATGCTTATGTAAACATACACGCAATCATTGCCTCAAGGTATAAAATATATTCAGAAAGTTACTGTGTTTTACAAAATGCACTGTGAAAACTTCTTATTCTAGACCATTCTAACTCCTGTTTTCTATAAAAAGATAACTCTTCTCTTTTCCCTAGGTTTTTCATTCAAATACATTCTCATTTTCTCTCATTTGCAATTTTGCTGTTAATATGACCTCTGCCTCTTTTCCATTCCCTAGCATAATGGAAGGGAAATGTTATTAGTTCCCCGTTCCTTTTCTTTTTCATGGGAACATGTGCATACATGCTACTCACTACTCAGCTTTCCCTTCAGCAGATCAAGGCTAGATAGCAAAAGAAATCTAAAAATTCAAGTACAATTCCTCCTCTCGACACTAATTTTTCAGTGCGCTCGACCTCTGCAACGGGGTCTACTGTCAGCATGAACTGTCGCAGCTCAGCCTTTTCTTGCTCTCATACTGTTGATGTTTGCCACTTTAACTTGCTTTCCTTTCCTCTGCTCCCCCCAAACAGCTCCTCTGCTGTTTCTCCTAAGCTTTTCAGAGTTCAAACATGAACAGAGAATTTGAAACAAATTAAAATGTAGTGGACAAGACAAGTAAGAAATCAGCTGCATCAAAAAAGAAAAATGAAAAATTACAGTGTGAAGAGTAGAAGGGTGAAGAGAGAAGCTCCTTTATTTCTATCATTATTCCCCATCATGGATACACCTACACTTGCAATTCCTTAAAGCCCTGGGAGAGGGGAAGCTAATTGAAGCATTACAATTAGCGCTAATGGAGTTCTGAAAAACAATGCAACGTGGAGAAGATGGTATTTCCTATGCCTGCTGTATTGAACTGCAAGCCTTCAGGAACACAGGGCCAACCCACTCCGTTAATAGATTTTTTAAATATATATATATATATGTACGTGTGTATACACACACACACACATTTAAAAATTGTATGTGTGATGTAATTGGTATGACTTATTCATAAAAACTAGAACTTCATGGAAGTAAAACACTGCTCTCATGCGCAATGCTCTGAAGTACTAAGAGTTGATTTAAACTACTTTGGCGTACTTTCAACACCTTCAAACCTAAAACTAGGCAAACAAAACTATTAATAACCTGGTAAAATGACCAAAAGCTGATATCTCCAGAGAAAACGTGCATTCGTACAGGTGAAGCAGTTTAAAAAAACCAAACAAATAAAAAAACCCCACCAAAGCAATGGTGGTTCTCCACCATTTTGAAAGGGCTTTGTATCACTGAAAACTCTTTCAACTCATATTCAAGGCAGTTCCATTGTACTCCCATAACAGCCACTTTAACCTTCCTGTATTTGAGAAAGAGAACTAAAGCTAGGAGGGGTAAGTCAGGATCTAAAATTATTATATTCTCATTATATTATGAGAATTCTATATTTTGGGATGCCTTATTCAGGATTTAAATATTGTTTGCGTATAAAACGCACAGTGCCAATCACTGTCATGGAAAAGTTGGTTTTAAACTGCAGTTGAATAGATACTATTAGCAATTCACCACCGCAACGTTCAGTTTTTCAGTATCTCACAGAACATGTTCATCATGAGGGAAACCTGTTGAGAAAAACCTTTAGAAGCACAGAGTTAATTAATCCTTGGTTAGAAAAGGTCTGTACGACAGCAAAATACGATAAAAGCCTGACCTTCTGAAGTCCTCCATTCTCCTCCACCAAAGGAGGAAGAGCACTGGTGCTATTGGTAGATGGTGGTTCGACATTGTAGTCACGAAAGCAGCAGAATAAGGTGCTAAAGATACTTCGACTCCTCTGCTTCTTCAAGCTGATATTACATTGGGACACTAGGAAAAAAAAATGAACAAAACAGCAGAGAAATCAACTCATGTAACACAGACCTAGTTTTCCAGACATACGATTGAATCTAACATGCATGGTTATTACTTCAGAAGCCCTTCTTCAATCTTAAGACAATCTCACAGTAATTTTCAATCCTACTGAGACCTCTTCTTCTATTTTAACACCCTGTTTGCTCAAACTTACATGAAGATGCTAATACGTTACTAACCAACCTGGATCTCTGGATAATCAAAGCTCTTGCCATACCGTTCTAAGACACTACTTTGAGAGGTCTTCTAGAAATATCCAAATTACATACTATAAACTACATGAACTAACCTGCTGCTAAAATACATCTTGGACCGAAGGAGCAAACAGGACAGATCTAAAACAGAAGAAACTCCGCAGATGCCTGCGGATGCCTGGCCATATTTTCTAGCAAAATATGTCACTGTGCGTGGAACATTTAAACTTCTGCTACAGTGAGAAAGAGATCTGAGATGTTTCCGCGTTTTTCTGTTGCTCCCTGTTTGACAGGGTTGCTGAAGGGCAAAGTCAGCACAACACAGACAGTACTGTGAGTGGCAACATTTGTCGATGGATCAAGTTTTAAAAGGATACTGCTAAATGAAAAGGAAGGCTGCTGCTCTCATCCAACTTGCTTATTGGTCTAACAGTATAAAATCAGGTTAAAAAAAAAATCACATACAGATGAACGAAAGCAAGTGTAGCATCTTTAAGCAATTGCAAAACTGCAGACAGAAGAAACAGCTTGCAGAAAAGAAGTGCACAAAAGACAATCCCCTGAGTTTCAATCTCCCAATAGATCTTTAACATGTATTACAATAAAAAGCAATCAGAAAAGCATTTTCCAGTAGAACAAACAACATTTTAGATCACCAAATATTTTAACAGGCTCTCGTTAGAGGCATCTGTTTACTACTTTTGACTGCACCAGTCGATCGATTCAGCGCTCTCTGCAGCTACGAACAGGTAGGTGGACTGTTTTGATCACATGCCTTTCACGCAGACGTATTTCTTTGATGCTTATCTATAGCACTGCAATATACAGCACTGAACGTTATCGTTACTAAACTGCTAACATCACATGGTAACACAAGGAAAGATAACTACGTCAAACGTGCCCCGCCACAACTATTGCTGCGGATACGATGCAAAACCAGCCTAAACACCACGCTCTCCCTTCCAGGGCTACGCAGCTCCCCCTTGCTACACTGCCTTAAGTTAGTCACGACCACCTTACCCTCTCCTTCCAGCAGGGAAGTACCTTAGCATGTAAGGATTCATTGCTTCAGAGTCTACAAATGATTTCATTTCAAACATACGCAAACAAGCCCAAACAAGTCACTATTTCGTTCTTATTTCACAGCTACGCAGCAGTGCACCTACAGCTGGCTTAAGAGATGCAGAAAGCAGACACCAGTTCAGCCTTCTCTATAAGCAGAACGTAAAGGTACATATTCCAGCAGTAGCAGCCTACCAGAAGCTGCTTAATTCTGTCCAATTTACTCCTGTTAATCGTGCTGGGACAAATGGGGGCAGAGGAGGAAAACTGCTCACCGTTATCATTTTAATTTCATATTCTAAGTCCTCTAACATGTATAAGACTTCTGAAGTCAGTATGTGAACAAAAATGCATTCATAGTAGAAAAATGTAAAAAGGCTGATTAAACTGAGAAAAAAAGATGCTACGACAGTTGTGCCTCCAAGCAGATTGGCAGTGACCTATGCACCAGAGAGGTTTTTCTTACGTTCTGGATTAGAAGAAAGAGAAAAACAAAACACCTCCTTGACCCCAAAGTTAGAGGGTAAATGAAATTCTTAACAAGTCCCATTGCAAAGGCACATCAGTAAAATCAGTACGCTAACTCCTCATCTTTCCTCCTCTCTCAGATTATAAGGGAACCGCCATATATGTTTATTTTCCTCTCGATATTACAAGGGATCGAGTGCAATAAAAGCAACCGGTAACCTACCTAAATACAAAAAGAAAATTTCAGTGGGAGAATGGAGTTTTGCATGAAGTGAAACAAACCTGCCTGGGAAGATTTAGGAATACCATCACTGTCTGAAGTCAAAAAGTGCGCAGATACATGCGCATGCTTTGATAAGAAAGCACTGCGATACAGATCTTGAATGAATTTGCCAGGACTCCCTGAAAACAGAAACAAATCTTCCGATTTTGAAGAGTCAGCACATCAGCTAGATTTCAACATTTTCTCCTCTCAGAACTCTTGCAATGTGTCTAACAGGTCTAACAGTAATATTCTGTTCTCCATATACCTTATCTGTCTCTATTTACTAAAAAATGTTTCCCTTTACAGGGGTGGCAGAAGGCTCCAGTTCAGTTATTTATTGGCACTGGCAGGGAACACTGCCTAGTATCAGAAAATAAGTAATTTACAGATTTTTGTCATTTAAAAAATGAGATTGTGCTTAGGTAACAAAATTAAGTTAGAACTGTCCATAGATATTGTGTATGTATGCATGTATTTGAAAAGGAAGTATTTCATCACATTTAAAACATTTGTAAACTGACAGTATTTTCAACTGAAAATATTTTTCAACTAAACTCAATACTGTATTTTAAAGTTGAATAGAAAAAAAACACATGCAAAATTCGAACCATCGGTGATATATTACAGGTACAATATACGTCCTACAGTGAAAGGCTCATTCTCAAAATACCACATTCTGTTTGTGTCAAATTTGCAGAAAAACATGTTTAGAACTTCCCAAAGGGCATCTATGGAGCTGTGACTGATTGTTTCAAAACAGCACTTGAGAAAATTTGCATCACAAGCAGGAAGAACAACTTTGTTGCAATACCATCAAGGCAACGAAAGCGAAACGCTGAAATTAAAACGGGAACTACAATCCATGCATCCTGTTATCCACAGCTACTGTCGCAGAAGCCTTCCTAATCGTTTATTTTTTGTTTGCACCTTTCTTCTCTGTATCAATACATTTAAATTTGTGGGTGATGCATCGATCTCAGTTTCACAGCAATAATTTGGATTATCCACACTCTTGAGCTCTTTCCAGCCACTCACTTTTACTTAATTATCTGCTTCTCTGATCTTTCAGTTCAACCTCTATTTAAAAATGTGGCAGCAAATAATTTGAATGCTTAAAGCAGAAATGCTCTTACACAGCATTCTTCATACACCACTTTTTTCTGGACTTCATAAGGTAAAGGAATGCAAGATGAAACATTATTCTGAAAACAATTTTTATGCATAAAGTAGTCCTCCTGAAGCCAAACTGCATTTCGTAATGAAGTCTGGTTTATAGTCTAGGGCTGGGACCGAAGCAGGTCTTCAGTGCAGGATCCACTTCTGTGAAGTGCAATAAAAAGTCAACCTTAAGCAAGAGAAACTAATTACCAAGTGTTTGCAGAAGAAGGTGGCTGAATGCCTCTGAGCTTAGCCTTGAGTTTACTGAACACAAACACGATGTAAGGCCAAAACTTCACTAAACCACATCATGCTAGTCCTCAAACCTCACATGCTAAGGATCAGTCCACGGACAGTCTGGATGTAACTTGTGCAATACGAAGAAATTACAGGATGGAGTCCCAGGTTTGCAAGAGGAATTCTGCCCAGCAATCACTAAAGCATTTAAATGAGAAGACTGAAGCTCTGACTGAAAGCAGTGGTGCTGCATCTGCTCCTATGGCTATGGCTTTATAAACATATATGCTGCCAAGAGACTCGAGTTCTTCATCTCTAGGATACTTTAGGTCTGTTAACATCTTGCTGCTCTCAGAGCTTCTACCTGGAGCAAAAAATCTCAAGACGAAAGCTACTGCTTTGTTAAAGCCATTTAAGAATACTTTTCTTAATGAAATTATACATTTTTACTTTTTGCTACCTTTTGGGTTTTTGGGGGGTTTAAGGTTGAACATTTGAAAACATAAGATTTACTGAAAAACAGACAACACCCTAAAAGGATATGTTTACTATTATCAAAAACAGCCCCCACAAAATTTGCTAATTCAAAATACATGCTTTGAACTAACATTGCTGGTGTCAGGCATAAAAAAACCCTACACATTGAGGTGACAAAATGGAACTAGCTTGAAATTAAGAACCATTAAAAAAAATTGTGCCCCTTTTTTTCCAGACTTCCCAAAGACTCGCTTCATAGTCATTAGCTTTTTCCACTGAAAAAATGCAATGAACTCTAAAAATAAGCTAAAATTTCATGAAATGTCTTCAGTGCAGGAGTTATCAAAACAACCCACTGTAACAGAGCCCACAGAAGTTAATAATACCTGAGGAGCTTATGGCAATTTTAGAAAGTGCAACATTTGTTTTAGGAAGAATTTTCCTTAATGCTGTTCTGAATCATGTTTTTCATCTTGGTAATTTTGCGATTCATAATACAATCATGTTTCAAATGGGTGTTTCCACTTAGATGTTACTTTAAAGATATCTATTTTTACAATATGCTGTAGAAGCTCTACTGTGACTTAGTACATTTTAATTTCCCATGCAATAAGGAACAGAAGTGCTCAAATGGCTTTATATGACATACAGTATAACGTATACAGGAACTGCATGTATAGAAAAAGATTTGCACCGTATCTCGTTTTAAGAAACCATGACAGTGTCATGCATCACATATAATAGTTTTTGCTTTCTTAGTTATACTGGATGAAATGAAAATACTGTGCAACTTGCTTGATTTGCATAATTTTGCTGACAGTATAAGGGTAACAGCTATAACTCTGAAGACGTGAAGAAGCACTAACATTCAATCAGTACCATATATGCAGATATTCTGGATGCTCGCTAATTTTAAAGAGAAAAGATGAACTGCAGAGGCCAAACACTGGCATTCTTTAAAAGCCTATAGGTAAGATCAATCAGTAAAGAAAATAAAGTTGCATGCTGAATTTTCTAAATTGCAAGTTTAAACAGTAACCAATATATTGAATTTACAGAACATACTTTTCGTCATCTTTTGGGAGTTATAACCT